TATAAAATCTGCGCAAAGTACATTCGCGAGGGAATCAAATGTTCCCTTGAGAATCGATCATGTCCTGTCGACGATTGATTTTTCCCTAATAAAGCGAAAATATCGAGCGGCGCCGAGCAACGACAATGACAGAAGCATCGTGTTGCAAGCGTTATAGGTGATGTTTCCCGCGAAGGGAAATAGAATTACTTTGGCCGTCGGCCAAATCGAATATGGATTTTTAATTGTTATATAGCAACGGGTTACCGTTGTTTCTCGAAAAACGAAGGCGGAGAATGCTGCTCCTACGATGAAATAAAAAATAAATCGTACACGTACAATAATAACCGATCGCGCAAAACATGCGTCTCATAAACGCGGACAATGACGAACCGTATAAGTAAAGTCAGCCAATCCGAGTACGAGAGTCGCGCGCGCCAAATCAATAACCGGCCGATCCGTGATTAATGGCAGCTACGCGGATTATTATCCGCCCGAATTATCTGTTTGCCCGCGGATTAATTCTGTTTGTTTTACACAACGTGCGCGCGCGCGCCGAAAAGTTTATCGTCCAACGATTCTCCGCGCTCGATAATTATCGAAATTCGTCCATTTATGTATTCGCGCAGAACGGGATTTTGAGCCCCGAGTACAACGTATCGAGACTTCGCTGTATCCTCTCGAGAATGATTTTTTCGATGCGTCGCGTCGCCTTCGGAGGATTATGCCAGCTGCTTCTCCGGCGAGGTGTTGTCCACACACATATGTGTACATATATATATATATATATATAGATGGGGGGACAAAAAAAGAGGATTGGGGCCACGGTTGAAAGGCGAGTGGAGAATCCCGCGGATTTTCGGACCGGCCCGCCTTCTACTCCGTCCTTGTCGGTATTCAGGATCTACGCGCGTCCCACGGGAAATCGTCCTGAGCGGTGTGTGTTCGCCCCGAAAACAGGTTTTTCGAAAGATCAGCGCGTTACGGGAGGAAAACGTCTCTCTACCAATTTGACCGTGACAAATCGTATTCGGAGGCTGACTTTTAGAGAGAGAAAGAGGCGCGATCGATCACACCACGCGTGATATCCCGAGAAAGTAGGACAGTCCATTAAATGCGAATCAAACGAGACGTCTATAGTTGCACGTCTCATAATCGCGTCGTACATTTAGCGTTAAACCGTATGAATGGTATGAAATCTTTGGCTTATAATTATGTATCTCCGAGCTAAATTTTCAGCATGTAGACATCAAATTAAAATCTCTCATCAAATCGAAATAATTAAAACATAGATCTCGTGATGCTTAAATATTGAGGATTGTGATATTATAACTTTCAAACGAAAAAAATATTAGCTATCATGACTAATTTTAGGTATTCCTATATATCGTACCTAAAATTTAGACATACTTCCATCGAATTGACTGAACTTTGGATATATTGTAGTTTAAGAGATTCTGTTCAAAAGATATAATAGCCTCAAAGCAAAACAACCATTGCAGTTAAACATCTCGCACAGCATGAGTTTTTCGTGTTTGACTATTATTTAGCTTCGAGCCTATTACATTTTTTTGTTCAGCAGATCGTAAAGCTACAACAATTGAGAAATCCAGCTGATTCTACCAAGATCAGACCATTCACAAACATTCAGCTAATTCAACGGAAAACTATTTTCCATTGAATTAGTGTGAGGTCCTTTCAGGTGTATTACACCTGGTGTTTGACTATTATTTAGCTTCGAGCCTATTACATTTTTGTTCAGCAGATCGTAAAGCTACAACAATTGAGAAATCCAGCTGATTCTACCAAGATCAGACCATTCACAAACATTCAGCTAAAATTCAACGGAAAACTATTTTCCATTGAATTAGTGTGGGGTCCTTTCAGGCGTATCACACCTGGTGTAACATCTCAAGTTCAGCTATATACAATGACTAATATTTTCTTACGTGTATAATGGAAGAGAATGCGAATCGTAAAAATTAATGAATTTTCGCAAGAAATCTGTATTTCTTCGAAAGACCTTCGAAAAGCAAAGACAAATGATTCGCAACGTCATCGGCATCGAACAAAACGGTAAAGTCCCTTCTTTGTACGGTCCTGATTCTGAAGCTATATCTGAGGGGCGCGAGCGAACGCGAGAGCCGATTATATTAAATGGCTGGTAAAACGGTCTGCTTAACATAGCGTTTATCTGCTTCTCTCGGTTTAGTACTTTTTCACTGCCTCGTCAGCCATCGCCCATAAACTCAACTACGACTATCTCGCGTCTCGCTTTTTCACCCACGACTCGAGAGGGAGGAAAAGAGAGAAAGAGCACTCTCGGTACATTTTTCCGCGCACGCGTGCATTGCACGCAGCCGGGCTGCTGAAACTCGTAAAAGATACAGGACCATTAAAACGATTCATCGTCTCGAGTGCTCATCATGCTTTGACGCCCTTTTTGTTTACGATAAACCCGAATCTAGGTGTCTCTCTCGTTCTCTCTTCTTTCCCCTTTTTTAGAGAATAACATTCAAATTTCGATTCAGCGCGATATCGCCTGGATATTTAATATTACTTATATCGCCTGGATTTTTTCATATTTTTAGTATTTTTGGAAATACGAGTTTGAAGTTAATATATGTATAAAATACAGCAATAAACATTTCCTACGAGAAAATTATGCAGAATATAAAATGTTTCAAATATATTTCAATTGCTTTGAAATATTACCATGTATACATATATATAGCATTGTATTATATTTGATTATTAAAATTTTTCTGTGTAGAATATCTAATACTCAGGAAAAATAAAGAAAATGTGTGAGAATATTTCTAGATGTCGTAAATAAAAATAAATACATGTAAATAGTAATGCGGTTATACTTTAAAGTACTTTACCTTTGTGGAATATAAAAAAAAATATTAGAATTCCTCAATAAGATGTCTTGTGTGTGTTGGCGAGATATTTTCTATTTAATATATTGTATATTTAAATAAAATACAATAATATACAATTCCCGCAATACGATGAAAAAAATTGCAAGATATATTAAAATTGTATTTTAAATAGCTCAAACATATTTAATTTGCTTTAAAATATTACTATATATAACATTCGTTTGATTATTAAATTTTTTTCGTACAGGATATTCATGGTTCAGAAAAAATAAAGGAAATCTGTGAGAATATTTCAGATTATAAATAAAGATAAATATACAAAAATAGTGTGGTTACGTCTTAAACAGATCCCTTCACGAAGAATATAAAAAATATTATAATTTCTCAATAAAATATCTCGGCGAGATATTCTCTCGTGCTGTTTGCGTCAGCACTATACACGAGTACATAGAGGTCAATGGCCCTCTTAAGTTTCAGGCAAGGCTCGATTTAAAATTCCGATATATAGCCGAGCTAGAAACGGAGGATATAATAACCGTATAGAGAAAAGCGATAATAAGAGAATAATAAAAAGATACACAGCGTTTCCAAAAATCTCTTTATAAAAATACGGTCTGTTCTTCGAAAGGCAGCGACTCCGTCTCGATCACGAAAAGGGCATCGTCCCTCCTCTCGTCGTCGTGAGTGCGCCCGATGCTCTTTCGGAATATCACCGAAATAGCATAACGTCACACACAAACGTGGAATGTGTCGTTGCTGACATCACTGTGCCTGTGCTCTCTTGCTTCGGCAACGACACCCTCTTGTCTACTCGCGCGCACATATACACATACATATATACGTATCTCGTCGAGGAACTGATGCGAAAGGGGGTAGCTTAGCATGTGAGGGGCGTGGTGGTGTAGTTTTTTCTTCACGAGAGAGCTTTCACCCTCTTTCTCCATCTTTTTCCTCCTCCTCGATCGCCCCGAAAATAATTGCGCGTTTCGCGGTCTCTTGATCCGCGCGTAAAAGTAATCCAAACACGGCATAAAAATTATGTTTACGATAGTTTGAAATAGGGGGCCGCAGGGGTTCGATCGCGAGGGACGGCCGAAAAGGGAGGGTGAAACGCAGGGGGTTGCAGATAGGGATCTCTCTTCCGATTCCTCTCGATTTCGGTTTACCGCGCTTATGAGCCGCGACAACGACGGCGAAATGTCGGCGATATTACTCGGAGAAGTTTGGCTATGTGCTATTCGAAGATTGAATTCGGGGCTCCCGACGTGCTCGATCGATGCCACAAGTATACAACTCGGAGTTTATTTATTTTCGTTCGATCTTCTCTCTTTTTCACGCGCGATTGGGTTAAATATAGAAATTCTTTTTTCGCGCACGCATATATATATATATATATATACACTGTAAAAAAATATGTATATATATCACACAAAAATATGTAAAATTACATAAATAATAAGTGTAAAATTACACGATAAATAATAGAAATTTTTACCTTTTCATTATTTATCATGTAATTTTACATTTATTATTTATGTAATTTTACATATTTTTTTTTACAGTGTATGTACGTAACGCATCGAAGGCTGATTTTTTCGAGATTATACCGGTTCTCCTAGTCTCCTCCCATCTCCCTTTCCAATCGATTCCGAGTTAAAAACGCAATTTAAAAATCAATTCCAAACGCAACCGGGCGCCGAAAGTCAGCGCTTTAAATAAGACCGATGATTTATGATACATAATAACTCGCGTTCGCGGGAAAGAACGAAGAGGAGGAGGATAAAATTCCCACTCGCGAGGCAACAGATATAATCAATGACGTTGCATAAATAATAATACATCCTCGCAACGTTTCGATTTCCGCGTCGCGCGGAAAATACGTACATGTTTATGTACGAATGCTCGGTGTGTTTGCCGCGACATGATGCGCCGAGAAAAATCGTTGGAATCTCTACGGTTAAATCTCTGTGGGAAGGCGCGAGCGGCTGTTTATGTAGCGCCGAAATTGACTCATTTAAAAATTCCATTCATTCGTTAGCGCGGCGATATAATAAGCGAGTCATTCGCGCGTAAAATTTCACGATTCGAATGGTAAAAAGAATCAACAACAACGCAAAACAGAAAAAAATCACTCACCAGTTTTCTCCTTGATCTCGCAGAGGACGGAAAACAGGGCGGGCTTCATCCTATGGCAGTTGAGAGTGTGTTTCCTACAAGTAAAACGTGCGAACGAATTTAATATACAGCATGGATAATGAAAATCGCAAAAAAAAAAAAAATGGAAAAAATATTCAAAATATAAAGATCGCGGTTGTATAAGAGATAAATCTAGATGCGCCATTCGGTATGTAAATTGCATCAAATTATATCGTATTTAATGACGCTCGATTATATCAAAATGAGCCGGCTCAAAATTAATAAAAGCATTAACTTAATTCAAGCTCGTACACTTAATTCAGGACTGTATTTAAATGGCTAACGTGTTTAACGCGCGCCGTGAAATTACAAGAGCTCTCCCTCCATTCTCATGCATGGAATGCATATATATTCTCATGGGAGGAACATCTGACACTCTTTGTAGCGACATCAAACACACACATGTGCACATACGCGGACGTATACTTAAATATAACACGCAAGGCGCAGTCAGGTGAATATGTATGCACGTATACAGTCGATTAAATGCGTATATGTAACCACATACGCGATATAGCCAAATATGTTATATATTCTATAGTGTGTATAGACGAGAAACTCGGGTTCCGCGTGTCAACGCGTCCCATTTTGTGCCCTCGACAGTTGTTTATTTGCGAACGTAGCCTCTTCGCGGATCGAGATATTTAGATAAAATGTACAAGTTTGCGTATTCAGCCGTCGAAATATCCTCGTTCATAGATAGAGTAAATGTTTACCGAGATTTATAAGTCCGTGCGAGATTAATTAGACCGATTATAAACGCGGCTATAATTTTTCCAAGCGTAATTACACGTAGATAACGCGTGCGTTTTGCTCATCGGCATTAATAATCTTTCATTTCATACGATTAAGCCGCAAAGATTGCGTGTGCCTCGCGTTTCTTAAAATAAATACGGAGACGCACACCTCTTGTGCGTGACGTTGCAAAAAGACGAAGGTTGCAGATACTTTGTAATCTGTTTGATATTATGCATTCCTCAAATGAAATTGTAATCGCCGAAATACGCCTATTTTATATCGCGCGAAACATCATCATCTTGATTTTACGAGAATTTACACACGAATCTCGGATCTCTAAAGTACCATTAAATCTTTAATTGCACGTAATTAACGAACCGAGAGCATAATTTCTACTCCCCTCTCGATATATTATTCAGATGGATACATCATTTTATCGTCATATATTACCTACTCATTTTTATTATTATTTTTAAATATTATTTATATTGTTTATTATACACGGAGAGAATTTTCTCTTAGAATTTACTACAATAAAAATATTAATATGTGATTTTTACTATGTACATACTAAAATTTAATCGAACATATGTGGCTATCTTATTATATTGTATTTTTTTATTGTGGTAAAAATTAATCAGAGAAAATTTATAAAATTCTTCGATTGCCATAATTTTCTGGATGAATTTTAAGAGAAAATTTTCTCTGTGTATATTAATGAACGAAGGAGCTCGATATTTAACATTATTTGCATGGTCTACGTAAAAAACAATATTAAATATCGAGTTCCTTCATTCATTAATTTACACAGAGAGAATTTTCTCTTAGAATTTACTTTGAAAATTATGGTAATCGTGGGTCCATATGGTATTGGAAGCATTTTATAAGAGTTTCTCTGATTAAAATATATCTATCGCAATAAGATGTAAAAAATACGTTGGATTAATTTTACTTTGATAAGAGTAAAATTGTTATAAATTCAATATTAAAATAGGACTAAAACTTTGATAAGTGTTTGTCTTATAACATATAATAAATAATCTAAAAATATATGTATATATACGAAATAATGTTTACGATCCGGAGAATAAAAAAAAAAAAAAAAAAAAATCTGAAAAATGCGATTGTCGCGCGAGAATCGAATAGAAATAAAAACGACGAGGGTATACCATAGAAGAGAGAAGCGAAATTAAAAGGCGCATCTCGCGCGCTCTCCCGCAGGTCGCAAAAAATGGCGGAAAAGGGCTAGTGCACGTACCTCGCTTGCGCCTCGTCCAAGCTCTGATCCGTGATGTTCATGATCTGTTGCAGGATCTCGCCGATGTCCTGTTTCCTGGCCTCGACCGCCTGGTCGGGACCCTGGGTCGCGGTGCCGTCGACCGGCCCCATGCTGCCGTAGCCGGCGGTGTTCTGGGCCGCCTGGCCCTGGTTTCCACCCATCAGACCCACACCTGAACCTCCGTGTTGCAGCATATTGCCAGTCTCATCCATCAACCGGACTCCGCTGCCTCGACTCTCGGTGGTGTATCAGTCGACCACCGATGTTCGCCTCTTCGTGTATATATATATATTTATATATATATATATATATGTCTTCTTCGACGGTGTGTGTTTTACTTCTATCCGCCCCGTCGAGAACAACCGACGAAGCTGCACCACGCACGCACACACACACGCACACCTATACTGGGATTAACTCGTATACCAGGTGTCGCGAACACGTCGACAAAGTCTTCGCCGGGGATCGGCCGAGATCTGCCGGGTGTGATGATGCACGTGCTCCTTCTCTCTTTCTCCTCGCGATGCACGCTTGCAAAAATATAAATACTATCTTCCTCTCGCTCACTTTAGCTTGGTCGTGACCGAATACCTCGTGACTCGATGCACTGCTGCTTCCCGCAGCGATCCCCGAAACGCGAACGTGTTGAGGTTATGCCGACGCTGTGGTCTTTGTCCTTCTGCGCGTATCGTTCGGCAGTTTTAACTCCACACGCTCCGTTTTGTTCCTTCTCTCGCTCTTTCTCTCTCTCTCTCTTTCTTTCTTTCCCTCTCGCTCTTGCACCGCTTACACGCTTACCTCCGATCTTCTATCGTCCGTTCCTTGTATATTGCTCCGCGCGTTCCGCACTCACACTAATTACCTCAGTTTCTAAAATCTGGTATACACAATATAGAGGGCAAAGGGAAAAATGGTGCCTTCGGCGGCGGGTTAAACTTTGACGGATTGTCGAGTTTTACGTATACGCGGTTGTGTCGAGACGGTCGGCGTCGCGCCCGGTCCGCACTTCTCTCCTCCACGATATATATATAGATATATATAATATAATATATATATATATATATATATAAATATATATACACGTCTCTCTTTCTCTTCTTATCTTTCTTCCTCGATGCGTCTCTCGTTCCGGCCAAGGAAGATCGGCGTCGTTCTCCGGGTCATCCGGACGTCGCGCGTCAAGTTCCCCGTTTCACAAGGCAAACCAACAACAACACGACGACGACGACGACGACGACGACGGCGACGACGACGACGACGGCGGCGACGACGACGACGGCGACGGCGACGACGACGACGCGCGCGAACCGACCGTTTCCGCCGCTCTTCTCACTGTTACTCGGTCGCTGGAGCGACTGCTACGCGGCTCCCTCGCGAGTATACGCTCGCGTACGTGTACCGTGGCGATACTGTGCGTGCTTGCGCCAATCGGCGGCCATAGCAGCCGCCGCGGCCAATCAGAGCGTCCGAGCATCGGGCCGCCGCGGCGTCTCTCCCTCTCGGTCGCGCGCATGCGCGCGGGCTCTTCCTTATTTACGACGGCGTGACCTCGGCGCGTTTCTCGTCACCGCGATCTCATAACCTGTACTAATCCTCTATCTCTCTCTCTTGTGCCTAAATAATCAGAACTGGACTCAAATTGGTTGAAGGCACGTTAAATATAAATTGAAAAAAAAAAAAAAAAAAAAACTATCTCTCTCTTTCTCGCCTTACGCAGGACGATAATTTCCGGGCCGCTTCTCGGAGACGACGTGGACGAGTCCTCCGGGTGTCGCGGATAACTTCGTGGCGAATCTTCTCTCGCACTCACACAGGCGCGAAATTCGCCCACTCTTCGCCGACTGTTCCTCTTGCTCCTTTTTCTCGGCGAGAAACCAGCTTTTGAGACAAGTCCGAATCGAGGGAAAGGGAGAACTCGCGGATCGCGATGACGCTCGGAAACGCGTCGCGTCGTTCGGACGAGAGGTGTCCGCTCGCGCGTGTATCTGTGTGCGTGCCGTAAATCACTGACGCGTCCGCGCGCAAGATGGCCGCCGAGCGGCCATACTTGCGAAGCGCGAAACGTAAATCAGCTGCGTGTTTTTGCGGTTTCGATTTTTCGAAGCCGTGGATGCTGCCGCGTGGAAATAGCCGCGCGAATTGTCTACAACGAAATCGCGTAATATGTATATATGTATATGAAATAGCTGCATTATGAATATGAAGATGTTAATACTGTTTTACAAGTCGACTCGATTATTGCTAAATAAAGCCTAATTTTTATTATACCAAATAGATTAATTAATAACCTCTGACGTTCCGAATCATCCGAGTTCTTGTATCATTACATTTTGGTTAATTAATTATATGAATATACCTGTAGAAGAAAACTGAAGATATCGACATTAATATTTAATCCAGCCAAATTTATCCTCTTGCTTGAGAAATGTATTAGCTTGCAACAGTTTGTCCGCATAATTTGTTTAAAGCTATAGAACAGAAATAAAAATATAGAAGATCCCGATAATCGCGTCTTGTATGATTACATTTTTATTATTTAATTATAATAGGTATACCTGTAGAAGAAAACTAAGGATGTTGACGTTAATATTTCTAGCCAAATTAATCTTCTTGCTTGAGGTGTAGCTTACAACGGTTTGTTCCGTATGCTTGTTCAAAGCTAAGGAGCATGAATAAAAATAAAGAAGATCCCGATAGGATGCATCCAATCATCGATCGATGATTAGGGATTTTTACTAGACTAGGCGCAATTGACCAATCAGAGGATGTAAGAACGAACAGTCACGATGGGTGAATATCTAGATGCGACACTACTGAAAATATTCAATCGTTTAATTGACCAATCAGAATAAAGAGCATTAAATACATAGGAGGACGTTATCTTTCTAGGTTTCAACTTTATTCAGCATTTCTTTCCATTCTTTCATACAAACCAAACGCGTGGTTGTCAACGCTTATTACGAAGTATGTTTGACGAAAAATCATGTAGTAGCTAATTAAACATATAAAATTGTTTAATAATATTTAATACTCAATTTATAAATGAAGAGATTTCAATATATGGTTCTTATGTTAAAGGAACAGCGCGAATAAAAACATTCAGCTAATACCGACTGAAACACGTACTAGTGTTTATAATTTGTATTGATTTTTTCAAAATACTTGGTAAGAAAATTGGTTATGCTCTATTATATTGTTACACTTTTTTAAAGAAGAAAATATTGTGGTTAATTTTATCAAAATGTATTTAGGTGAAGATACTGTATGTGTTATATGTAACTGCAGCTAAAACAAAGATTTACCTAGAAGATTTCGAATCTAAAGCCTAATTTGTATTGATTTTTTGAAGTATTAGGTAAGAAAATTTGTTATATTCTGTTATATTGTCATACTTTTTTTAAGAAAAAAATATTTTGATTAATTTTATCAAAATGTATTTAGGTGAAAATACTGCATATGATATATGTAACTGTAGCTAAGACAAAGATCTAGCTAAAAGATTTGGAATTTAAAGTCTAATTTTATTGACTCAATATACACATTTTTGTGCAAAGGACTTTTATGCTCAAATTTTGGATTACTATAATAATCTCTCGTCAGCAAAATAACTATGGAATCAAAAATTTATAATGGAAAAACAAAGGAGAATGATCTTTCAAATACTACACACACAGATTATGATAAATATTATAAACTGGATAATAATGGCCATTATAATCTACATTTTTTAAACAAGAATGGACTCAGCATCGACCAAATACGAGAAATATTTTCAACTTTGGAAAAGTGATAGCTGTGAATGTTAGCGGAAATGATTATGGGCTTAGATTTATTAAGTATAAAACATTGGTTGAAACGTATTGCTGTATAAAAGGTTTAGCACACAACGATAACATAAAGTTATTATTAGAAAAGAGCAAAATGAATGATTTTAGCAATAAATTTGATAAAAAAGATTCAAGTCAATTGCAAACAATAAAAACGGAAAATTCATTTCAGAGAACATCTAGTACTGCCAAACAATTTAATCTGAACTGTGTTCATAATGGAAAATTCTCAGAAAATGAAAGTTTATCTTATAATGTGAAAACTAAATTGACTGAGGATAGTCAGTTTGACAATACTGACTATTTTTCAGATACTAATAGTTTTAAAAGTTTAAAACACAGCCATAAATCTAATGCAAATGGAATTAAGTATAGTAAACCAGACTCATTGGTGTCTTCAAGACAACAAAATTCCATCCAAAATTCAAATCAAATAGATTGCGAGAAATATTATAAAATGGCCAAGGATGGGACTTATATTCTTCATTTTGCAAACAAGAAGGAACTCAGCTCAGACGAGATAAGCAAATTATTTTCACCCTATGGATCTATTCTAAGTTTATATAAAAATGAAGATAAACCTAATGGACTTGTATTTATAAGATATAAAACATTAGCGGAAATAGAAGCATGTTTGATAGGTTTACAAAATAGCGATGTGATATCCATATTACGACAAAAGAATCAAATCAATGGTACAGATAAAAGAACAGATCAAAGAAGTTCAAATCAATCAGCAGGAATACAAGATACATTTCAAGGGATATGCAATACTGGCGAACAACTTCATTCAAATTCCAATTACGATAAAGAATTTTTAAGAGCAAAAGAAAAATCAATTATTAATACAATTTCTAATGAGACCACATTTGATAATACTAACAATTTTGAGGAAACTTCTGGTGTGAGTGCAATTATACAGTCAAATTTGTTATCTAGAAAGCAGCTTTTACTTGCTTCACTTAAACAAAATGTCAATTATGAAGTATTCAAACACAATCAAGAACAGCAACAAAATGATAAATCTGTCGATTTGTCAAAGCCTGATGCCAATACTTGTAAGAATAAGGATCTATTTGACAAAATGTCAACTAAAATCTTAGAAAAAAAGCAGAAGAATATTGATAGATCTGTACAAGAACTAAGTAGAACTAAAACTTCGTCTAAAATTACGATTATACCAATGGAGGAAATAATTGTTGCTAATATTCATTCAAATTATGATGCACATTATATTTTACATCTGTTTAGGAAATATAATCCAATTTCAGCGACACTCGCAGAGAAAATTGTGGGAACTAATATACGATATTGTCATATTTATTTTAAAACAAAACACGACGCATTAGCTATTGAAGAGGAATTTGATAATTTTTGTTTATCTGGAAAAAATCTTATTGTTCTTCAAACTGGGCGATTAAAGGAGGAAGCTGTACGTAAATAACAGTCTTTTAAAACTTATTATTATTACATTAATCGCATCACATGAAATTGATGTTATCACATGGAATTAATAACATTATTAAATTAGTCATTTTCATTAAGATTTTTTTCATATATACATATCGAAGAGACATCATTAATTATATTTTGATATACACATATCTGTCAATTTTTTGGTTTATATTTTTTTAGAATAATTTTCATTTATAATTTATAATGATAATTTTTGTAGTTATAAAAAATTAATGTACACACAAGTATGACATAGTGGACAGTTTGTTTATGAAATAAATGATTGTAATAAACAAAAAAATCAAAATTTATTTTTTTATACATCAAAAATATATTTTAAAATTATAATAGAAAATATTTTAATTTATTTATATTGATTATTTTAATAACAATTTTTTAATATTTCTTTTACAAATATTTTACGTATTTTATTTCCTTTTATTTTAATTATATATAAAGCTATTATTTAAAATAATATATAATATAAGTGAAACTGCAAAAAAATGTATGTCATGTTTATGAAATATATATGCTCAATTGTATATGACTATTGATCATGTTCATAACCTCTCTCAACCTATCTATCCTCTGCAAACTTCAAATACACGTGAGTTGTAAAGAAGATGCAATTAAAAATGTCGAAAAAATTCAATAAGAAAGAAGTGTATCAAATGCTTTTAACAGAGGATATATTTATTTCGGATATATTTTCTAGAATGCCATTATCAACGTGTGAATTGGGTAAGAATGTGTTTTTAAAGTAAGATCTAAAACATTTAGAGGTTACATTTTCATGTTACAATAAAGTCATCTTATATTTTATATTTTCATTTAGAAAAGCAGAATCAACCATTAATAGGAGAGAGAGAATCGATGAAAAAAGGTGATTACATTTTTTTATATTTATTTGAAATGAATTCTATAGATTTCTATTAGACGACTCGTTACCAATTGCAATAAAAATTATTCTAAATTTTAATGAATAATATACATAGTAAATAAAATCTTTTTCTCGAAGCATATAATAATTAGTAATTTCATCTAGATTAGTATACAAATTTGTATTTTGTTTATTTATTTATCAAAAGAAAATATTAACACTACAAGCTATACTATTTATCGTATTTCCTGTTCCAGTCAAGGCTTTTACTTCATCAGGCAAGAAAACAGAAAAAGGACACACTTTTGAGTTACATGCAAAATTAGATAAATTAAAAGGTGTGAAAAAGTTGGACTACAAACAGAAACTTCTTAAAAAAACTCTGAAGAACAGAATCAAAAAGAATACAAAAAAGGAACAGCGTTTACTACAGAAAAAACTTGCTAGGATAGAACAAAATGCAGCTGGTGATAGTAAAATAAAGATTGATAATGAAGAGGTGCCAAAAGTTCCAAAACCAAAACCAGTGTTTAATTCAGAAGGTAAAATGGTGTTTAGTAAGTTTGATTTTCTGAGATTGGAATAAGAAAAAATTACCTAAAGATCAGAATGATCCTAAAAAACTTTTACAACAATTACAACAAAAGAAAGAAAAATTGAAGCAATTAGAAAATTCAGGTGATAAAGAAAAAGCTGAGGATATTAAAGAGAAAGATGCATGGAAATCTGCATTGGCAAAAGCGAGTGGTGAAAAAGTATGTATTTAATTTATAAAAGACTATTTTAATCATGAAAAATAAGGATTTCAGGAAAATATAGAATTATATTTCTATATCTTTATTTTTTATTATAAATTTATTCTTATATATATTATTAATTTTATTTTCTTATATTTATTCTTATTATAATTATAAATTTATATTTATATATTTTCATTTATTATAAATTTATCCTTATATATTCATTAATATATCCTTATATTTCATTTAATTTATTATTATATATGAATTTATTTATATTAATAGTATTCTTATATTTTGCATCAGCTGATTTATTTGAATAAATTACATATTAATTTGTTGTCACACTAAAAATGATTTACATGTAAATCTATTTCATATTCTTAGTGCAATTATATTTTACAGGTTAAAGATAATCCAGAATTGCTCAAACGTACTATAAAGCAAAAAGAACAGAAGAAGAAACACAGTGCAAATAAATGGAATTCCAGGATAGAGAAAGTACAAAAATCTAAACAGGAAAGGCAAGAGAAACGACAACAAAATATTATGAAGAGGAAGAAAGAAAAAAAATCAAATAAATTGAAAAAAGCAGCAAAGAAAGGACGTATAATAGCTTGATTTTAAGTATCAATTAGTTAGTTGGACTTATATTCCGCGACTTTTTACATTAAAAAATATAAAATATGTTTGCGTGTAAGCTTTGCTTTGTTATTATGATTTTTATTTACATGCAAAAGTAAATCAGAATACATATACAAAATTGACATTTTTATAAAAGTATAAAATTCATTTTTAATTTGAATTCATAAGTATGGAATTAAGCGAATTGTATACGTTCGTTCGTACATATACTATCGAAAATCATTTTATTCACAGATCTAGGAAGAGAGATAAGGTCAAATAATATAATACATGTTATGATATTTGTTAGTAAAAGGAAACTGGTTTTTTAAAAAGTTGAATAATACGTGTGTACAATATCGATCTATATAATACATTTACGAATAATATTTTATTAATATAATTTCGTTTTTGTTTGTACATTAACAAATCTGTATTTACATTAACACATTTGTATCGTAGACCAGCTACTTTCTACAACTATCGCATACATTCTAGATAATAATTATCGTGTAAAAAGCTCTACTCGCAAATGTCGCGAGCAAATAGTTGTATAAAATTTTACATATACATCGCTATGCTTTGTCGCACTTACACGCAAAGATCATATGATGCTCTTGAAGAATATTTTCTCATACAGTTTATTTTATTTATTTCTCTTGATATAGAAGAGTATGTTTCCTGCTATTTCGCGTAATTGTTACCGCAATTTGATAGTTTTGAGTAAATTATCCAGCCTCGTTCCTGGATTCTTTAATGAGGTATTCATTCGGAGAGACTGGCTAGTAAATGATTGGCAGATCTAGGACGAGAGCTTCAATATAGCCGCCGTCTTCCACCTCCTGCTAGGTATCTCCCAAGGCTGCAGAGACTGCATTAGCGTGCGTCAAAGCTGTCCATAATGGACTATGATCTACAGGCAACGGCACCGCCAAGGATTTCGATGGCTGTGGAGATCTATAGAAATAAGAAAAGAAAATGATATACAAAATAGACATGTAAAGTTATATCAACTTTATGAAACTATATTGACATTAGGAAGACATTAGGGAGACTAGAAACTTCATGTTTTTATATTCTCATTTCTAATATATAAGAATCTATTGCAGTCTAGTACATTATTTTATTCTCATAAAAAAAACATATTTATATAAGCATTTTAAATATAAAAAAAATTTGTTTCTTCTATTATATCTACTCTGTTTCATATTTTTGTGTTATATTATTTTTTTCTATTGTTTTTTTATTTTAATGTATCAATCTATATATAAAATTATATGAACTTTATGGAGCTATTTAACAATATAAGAATATACTAACATTAATAGAAAATTTTTGTTTTGATATTTCAATATATAAAAATGCCACTGGCAAAGTATTTTATATAAAAATTAATTTTTTTCTAAATTATATCCCGCAATATTTCATTTGTTTTTATTTTCTTATATAGTAACACAATGTTTTCTTAATAATAATAATAATAGTAATAAAAATAATGATATATATGTCAAAAGTATCAATATCTATCTGAAATCTATCAATAAACAATTTGATAAGCATAATAATAAAAATTTAACATTAAAAAAATAAGCATCAATACTTCATATTGATGAACAAAGAAAATCTTAGCTCAACTTTTCACGTTATACATAATGAATAATTCAAATTGAAAATCGCGCCATTTCGTAATTGTAGGATTATTAGTAATCGGCGTCGACCAATCAGAAGCAGCTTATAAGTTACGAGTGAAGCTAGAGGCTGAAGCTGAAACGACCGGATCTCGTGAGGAAGAAGGAAGATCCGTGGCGTTCCCGTTTTTTCGCGATATTTTATCCGATTTTGATTGAAAATATCGAATTCGGTCGCGTCGCAGTTATCATTAATCAGCGAGCAATCTGATTTTCGTCGATATAATGAAGCATTAAGCCAATTTAATCCATAAGTTCCGTGTCAATCTCGTGAAATGGAGTCGCGTATCATCTTTTTCGATCGAGATTACTTCAATACAGAGATATCGCAGGTAAGTGTCATCTATTTTATTAGTTTTTATATTCTTGTGACTCGAAATTAAGCGGAAATTTGGGTGGAAAATGAGAAATCATAAGAGACAGAAAGGGGACCAAGCGAATAAAATGAAGATGGCTTCTAATGTAGAATCCTATAGTCGATATATGGCCTTTAGTTTCGTCGACCAATCAGCGCGTTTCCCGCGCGCTGCGGTACGTCATTCGGAGGAGGTAGGAAGAAGACTGAAGAAGTCCATTTTCACGGTCTCGTGTCGCTTCGCGGTTCTTAGTTCGATTGTGCACGTTTTTTCCGAGAATTATCGAGCTCAATCGCGTCGCGGTTGTCGTCAATTAACGGGGAGTCCAATTATTTTCGTCGGTCTGACGAAGTGTCGGGTGAAATTTGAGGAAGTCATCGTTAACGATGAAGTTTCCGCCATTAAACGAGTCTCGTTTCTCGATCGAAATTCCTCTCTCGACAAAGAGATCTCGTATCCACGTAAGTTATTCGCTTTATTTCACGTAGAATGATTAATTATTATCGTATACGAGAAATATTTCAACTCGAAGTGTTAGAAGCTTTCATAACAATTATTCAGCATATTTCTGTTTGCTGGAAAAAATGGGGGCGAATAATTCCGAAGAATATTTTATTACCGAATATTTTATTATTATTAATATTTAATTATTATTAATATATTTTATTATTATTAATATTTTATTACGTTGTTACCTTGACGGTGCTAAAACCGGATGCTAATCTGGACTACTCAATTCCAGGGCGGTGCTCTGCTCGGGATCGGAACGTTCCTCGACGACGGTGTCCAGCTCCAGAGATGGGAAACTTCGAGAACCTCGATCGCTTTTCAAAGATACGGTACGTGCCGGACGGTCGACACCAGCTGCAGGACAACGTCAGCGATACGTGAGTTACATTGCAAACACAATATCAATTTTATGGACTTTGTTCTCAACGTACGAGCTGTTTTTATAGTTTCACTGTGCTATGCAATATATTTAGGCTGTCATTTAAACAAATATTACTAAAATAATATACAATTTTTTGGTTTTACAATCAATTTCTAAACGATGTTTTTGCGATTATTATATGATATAAAAGATTTATTACGTTATTTATCATGAATATTAATCAGTTTGAAAGATTGAGACAGTATACTGACAAAAATTTATTAACTTGATTAAGCCTTTCAATTGAATTTACTATTTTGTTAATTGAACACATATTAATATTTAAGTCAAATACACGTTTTATTAGATTAGATAATATTTTGATTTTTAAATATTTTTATATGTTTAATTAATAAAATATATTAAAAGATTTGATCAAATTTACAAATTTATTTTTCAGTATATTGCTTCCCAATGCGAAAACGATTGCAATTTGCGAAATGAAATTGTAATTAACTTTAAAAACTTCTCACAATGCCCTCATGCAAAATTATCTCATCGCAGTATTTGAAGCCGAACTAATACATTTTTTTGAAACTGTGTTATTGAAATCAATATCAATAATTGTATATTTGTCCCAGTTTAGAAAAATTTATTTGACATATAAATTTATCAAGAATTATATGTTGTAAATATAGTAGAATTATTTTAACATAAAGTATGAATAATAATTGTATAATTAAAGCTAACAATATAAGCTTCCACATTTTGTCATGAATTAGCAAATTCACATTTAATTTCAACTTTTTTGTATAAATATTTTAAATCAACATTTTATTATTATTTCGGATAATAAGATGTTGATTTAAAATTTATATAAAAAAATAAATATGAATTCGCTAATTTATGACAGAATAATGAAACTTATTGTTAGTTTTAATTATATAATTTAATTATTATTGGTACTTTTCGTTAAAATAATTCTATATACTTATACATACACAATTCTTCATAAATCCGTATGTCAAATCAATTTTTTTGATCAATCGATGAATTATAAAACTTCCCAATTATTTATGAATCAATTGATAAATGATAATTGATAATATCCGAATGCAATGTTTATTACGATAAAAGTTAAAATACTTATTCTTCTTACTTGCGTTGCACAATTGCTCTGCTCGCGACTATTAAAATTCCAAGAAAATTTATTCGACAGAAATTCAATCTGCCACTATATATCGATTGACAAACTTTTGACGTTGGAATTTTCTATTTATGCCAGCTAAATGAATTGAAGATTCCGCTGACTAATAAGCTAATTTATGCGAATGAACCATGCATATAAATCTGATATAGCCCTCCCAATATTAGAATTTATTAATTAATATTACGGAGCTGACTTCACTCGTCTGTTTTTATTTTTTAATTTTTTTTAAGAATAAATTGCAAATAAATATTAAGCAGCTTTCTATAAAATAAAGACGGAAATAACGAAGTTTATATATAATATACACTGAGAAAAATTGTTTATTTGACTAAATCGTTTAACTAAATAATATTTTATTAATTGAACATATAAAAATATTTAAATTAAATATATATTAAATCTAACAAAACGTGTATTTGACTTAAATAATAATGTTCAATTAACAAAATAATAATTTACAATTGAACGTCATTTAGTCAAGTTAACAATTTTTTTCAGTGTATTTAAATATTTTTAATTAAATAGGCATACTCTCTAAATATATACGTAAGCTTGCATCTCATCAGAATTTTTGCACAATATAATTATGTTTTAATTTGATTTTGATTAAATCTTCTCTACATAATGCAACAAGCCATGAGCTTTGCACAATAAGTAAATTAAATTTAAAAAATATCAAACTTGTGATAAAAATTAATTGCTAATTATCATAAAGTATTATACATTTGACAATGAGCAAATAATCTAACGATGCTAACGGTGCTATTAACTACATTATATTTTACCTAAATCCTCTTCTGATGCTTGCCAATAATAAATGAACCTTTCAGTGCGGATTAAATTTATTCGATTTAATTTGATTCTAAAAATACATGTATTGTTTAATTTAATGAATTCTTTTTATATGAAATAAAAGTTATTTCCAGCGGATAAATTTCGATTGTAGATTCTCGCGTATATTGTGAAATTTAATTCCCTTGAATAATAATTATAGCATTTATTGAATAATGAATTATTAAATTGAATTTAATCGTTTATTCTAAATTTTTTATTTATTTTATTTGTATATGTATATATTTGTCGCAAATTTCGGCATATGGAAAATTGAATTATTATCAGTCTAAATGATCTAATTGCAAAAAAGTTTCAAATGAGAGAAAAAATAGTATGTCATTATATATGTATATAGGGGGTAAAATTTGCAAAGATTCTTTTTATTAATATATTTGATCAATTTATGAATTTTTATATGTGTATGTGTGCAATTTAAAATTATTTTTTTTAAACAAAGATACAAAAATAAAATATAAATTATTTTTAATGTAGATAATTTTTTGTGTACTCGATTGAAAGAGAAATTACTGTTTTACTAATTAAACTTCAAAATACACGAATGGATAATAAAATTTTTTATTCTTTACTAAATTTTCAGTAAATATTATATTTACAGCATTGGTATTAATTCAAGATTTAAGATAACTTGTGTTAAAAATTATGAAAATAATGGAACTATAATACTCCAAGTTTTATTAAGAAAAAATCAATTTTAAATTTCTTGAAAAATTTAAACATAAAATGTGTGCGCGTTGCAAAGTACTTCTCTCTGTAGACAATATTTTTGAAAAATTATACGCTAGCAAAAAATTTGGTGGAATTAAAGATGTGTAATTAGCTTATATAATGTTTATGATGCATCTATCTTTTTCTTTTCTACGAACAATTTTCGAATCTTAAGGGACAGATATTCCGGACGATAAATTTCAGATTTCGACTACTGTGTATATTAGATAGTAGCTTCAAAATGATTGTCTACTAGTCGTCGACTGAATTGTCGTAAATTGAGAACTTATGGCAGTCGCAGTGAATTGCTTGTCGTTTTCCACGTAGAGATATAAAAAAAAATTTTTTTATCCGTCGACTATACTTATTGCTAGTAGTGCATACGAGAAATAAATCTGCCTTTCTCGCTGAAGTATGTTGCGTTGGTTTTTCATCTTTTTTTCTGTTGTGTAGACAAACACTATAATTTATAGATTTGTTTGTATGTATATTAAAGAATTTTATTCTTAACAACTGTGCATATTCTACGTTTTTGATTTTATACTATTTTTTATTAGAGATTTTATATTAAAATATTTTTTAAATATTTTTTTAATAGTTTGATAACAGGATGCTATTATTATTATTTTCATTATTTCTGAATTTGTAAAATTCTAGTTATAGTTATATTAAGTTACAATAGAGAAAAACAGAGAAATTTATATTTTAAAAATTTTAAAACTTTATTACATACTATATAAATTTAGTTTATAATTATAGATGATAGATTTACATATTATACGTTTCTATTGGTTTTATTTATATATTTTTACATATCTCTCTCGTTTCTAAAATAATTATTAATTGTATTATTTTATCGATTATTTTTTTTAATATAGAACGGTATAAATGTCAATTTTTATTTTCCATTAATTAAAATATATAAATGAAAAGAATTCAATAATTTCGATCAAGGCTTTTCGGCATTGGAAAAACATATGTTTATTATATTCCGAATTATGCAAAATTATATACGTATTATTATACAATATTTATTATTATATACGTATTATTATATTTAGGCATTGTAGGATAAGTTAGAGTGATGATATAACGAAAATAAATTAGCTCGTTGATTAGTTATGCGATTGTTCATCAATGTTTTCGCAAATAGTATGTATATAAATGGAGGACGTGGTATATTAACGAAGGCTTATAAACGACATTTATTGCTATATTTCAGCTACGTTGTTTTCCGAGATTCCAGATAACAAAAACTATTCGAGGTAAAGCGAATTTTAAATTTAGTTGAGGCAACGCGGGATAATAACGCGGTAATCCCCCGATGCTTACTTCCGACCACGCGAAAATGCACGTGCACACATACAATTGCATTCGGATAAGAATGTCGCGTTATCAGAAAAATAGTGCTCCGGAGCGTTATATTTCATGCTTTACACGTTGCACTCCGCGAAAATGCGGATTCGCAAGAACGATATAAGATTCAATTTTTTATATATAATGTGTTTGCGACAGAGATATCGCATTTCGTTACGATATTATGTGCTACGATTTTTTTCGGTAAGAAAGATTTATTTCTGCGTTTCATGTGCAGATGTTTTTTCTTCATGATCTTCACGATTTTAAGCATCCTTTTAGAATATAATTTTATACGTTTGAGTTAAGTGGAAAATTATATTTTATATTTTTCATATATATATTTTAAAATACAATTTATAATGTCCGGACTTATTCTTTGATAAGGACGAAAACAAAGGATATAGAATTTAATGGAAAAATTCTCGAATATACGGCTTTGAATAAAAACGATCAGTCATTCAAACGCGCATTTATTAGTTTTCAGTTTAAAATATTCACCAAACATTGAATTCATAGATTAGAATTTAATCTGTTATTTCTCATTTCTTTCTTTCTCTCTCTTTTTTCCTCTTTCTCCTTTCTTTTAGAATCCTTTTTATGTTTATTCCAATAGTTGTATATATACAATTGGATATACACTATAGATATTCGAGTGCATTTACATGCGAATGAGTACCTGTCTGTATAACAGTTATGTGTTTGTACATTCAGTCAATCAAAAAGGCAAAAAAAATGTAGAAAGAAAAAAGGAAATCTAGTTGTTATCAAAATGAAAAAAAATGGAACAATTCTGTTGCATTTCATTTCGTATTCTTTTTACACATATTATTTAAAAATTTGACGCTTTGTGAAATAATAACAAATATCATATTGCAATTGCAAATCTTTTTATACGTGTACATTTATATTTATCACACACAATATATATATATATATATATATATATATATATAGATAATAAAATATTTTTATAAGATATTAATTAGTGTCTATAAAAAGTATAATATAATATAAACTGTATAATATAATTATATATATATATATATATATATATATATATATATAAGATATATAAATATGACATATAAAAATATATTCCTCTTTTAAGTGAGATGTAAAAAAATATAACTATATATAAGGAGAGATAGCCTTTTATTTATTTGAAAAAATATTTTATATATACGTGAATTTTATGAAGAAAACTAATAAATTTGGGATAGGATATTAAAAGTTATATATTTTGTGATTTTCTCGTAGCTAGTTTACGTATTTTATTTGATTGGTTAGTAGCACTTAATTAATTTTGCGCGAGCGATTGCTTTTCATTGATACAGCGGAATATCTCTTCCGCATGAGCGCGTGTTCTAGTTTTACTTTTAAAACTCGGTACTTGGGTACTTTTTACTCACCTAGACGATGAACCGGGCTGAAACGAACAAGGCTCAGTGCGCCATGATCCAAATCACAGTTTCTACGCCGGGCTCGTTCCCTGGCGAGTTTAGCTCTTCTGCGTAGGCAGCAAATTACCATTAATGCCAGCAATGGAAACCCCAGAATGCAAGAGACGATGGGTATTATTATGCTCTCCGGCGTTACTGTGTAAGACACAAACGCAATTTAATCACGTGCGACAATTTCCTGAACTAGAGTACTAATTCTGTTTTACATTATAATTATGCACATGATTCCTTAATTTGCAGAGACAAAGTGTTTATTTTCTCAAGCAATATATGGTTGAACTTTTAAACATTTTAGTACAATCTAAAGTTTAATATGACGATGATATTTTATTGAACCTTTTTATTTTTGTAAAATTCTTAAAGATTAACTAATTCTTACAAGTTTATTATATATATGTACGAACCCTATATTTTCAAGCAGATATAAATAAATTTTATTTTTATTTTTGTAATCTGAATTATAATCATTTTACAATTAAAATTAAATTTACTTATAATTGCATAAACATGTCTGTGAATTTGGCACATTTTACGATATATATGTGTGTGCGTGTAACAACTTACATCATGCTGACATTATCATGAATCGCATTTCATTTTATAGACGCCGTATATTAACTACGCGAGATGATGTTTAATTAGGCGCTTGTATGAAGTATTAGATAGTGCCCGCGGTATAGTGGAGAATTATAAACGAGTAGCTGGAAAAGTCAAGTTTGAAGAGAGCGAGAGAGAGAGAAAGAGAGACAACAGGTTGATAATATCATTAGTGTCAGGCAGTTGCCTGTTATACAGCGTAAATTACGAGAAATACGAATACGCTAACAAGATAGCAATGTGTGTGTACAATAACAGAATACCTACTATTATCGGTTTATTCGCCGATTAAAGGCTTTACCTGATTGCTATTGATGATGACGAGTGTGAACTCATATATATACACACACACACACAATACAATGAAATAATGAAATTCTATTCCCTTTAAGTAATATCTGGAATATCGACTTTTTTTCGTAACTGCGATTGAAGAGAGAAATTCTTAATTAACACTTAATTGACCTATAGGAAGCACTTGTTTAAAGAGTAAAAAGGTATTTCGGCGAAGCGACGTCCATGGTTTTTCACTGGATTAATTAGTTGACGTTAAAACTTTAGAAATTCTAGATTTCGCGCAATCGGTGCATCATTCAAATCCCTACAATACTTCTAATTTGCAGCTGTGTGGCAATTCAACTGCAGAAAATTTCACGTTGAAAACAAATCCTCAATTTTCAGAAACACGAAACGTGACGAATACATAATATGTGAAAATATAAAACACATAGTACGCAAAATTTAAATTTTCATAGAATATATTATAATTTTTGTAAAAAGATGTATATTATAGTAATAGAAATATTTTTTTAATTTAATCAAAATCTCAAAGTGCGCACACATAATTAAAATTTAGTTTCTGACTTTAGAAAAAAAAAAACTTTAAAAAGTCAACAGAAAAGTTATGCGTTCCATTCAAAAGAAGTTCTTTTCAAAGGTTGTAAGCTATTTTGATTAAAAGTTTTCAAACAGTCAGTTTTTTCCTTTATAGCATATAGCAAAAATAACATTACTGAGTTATACATATTTGTATCGTGCGCAAAAAATTCCATAAAACGATTCTGTCACGAGAAAATAACAAAGATTTAAGTTTTCTTTTAAATACAAAAGACTAGAAACTTAGAAATGGTATCATCTTAAGTTCTGCTTATAATACTTGTTCGTGGGAAGTAACTAATTCCTCATAACTTTTATTATGTGCTTGAAAATTTCATAAGCTGACAAACTTTCAAGAAAGAAGATGCATCTCTTATTTATGATACAGAATCTACTTCATCACTGCAAACATATGAGTTTAATATAGTATATGCATTTTATTAAAGATAATATACATAGATAATAAAAATAAAAATAAATTATAAAGTGAGATAAAAAGATTGATCTGTTTCAACATCTATATATAAAAAATAATGTTCACACAATCACAAGTAAATCTAACAATTGTTAAAATGATTAAAATTTAGATTATAAAAATTAAAAATAAAATGATTTACATTGTTTAAAACTATACGGTTTGCTATGATAAACTTATGAGAATTAGTGAATTTGTACGAACAATTTTACACAAATAAAACGTTCAAAATATTATTATTTTAAACTTTATATTGTATTTTTCCTCTTTTTTTCAAACGCTTCTTCAAATAATTTGTCTCTTTCAGCTACTCGTTTATAATTCTCCGCTACCACAGGCACAATTTAATACCTCACACAAGCGTCTAATTAAATATCTCGCGTAGTTAATATACGGCGACTTTAAAATGAAACGTGATTCATGATAATAATATTGTCAACATAATGCAGGCAGCTACATGTACACACACATAAATATATATACATAGGTACACACAAAGAAGTAAAATTTAGTTTCGACGGAATAAGAAACGCGACTGAATTATAAATGCGATGTTTACGTTCTTACCCGTTGGATATACCAAGATAGTAGGCCTTTTGGAGTGCGGAATCGTCGGCATGGTGGTTCGACCAGCTCTCACCCCGCCCGACATTTTCCTTTGTTCTGCAACTGAATGGAAATGTACCTTTAAGCTGACTTTTCCGATGTCAATATACATTCTCGTTTCTATCCGGTATGTAATGTCTCGGTATATAGTACTGCAGTCGCACAAAAGTGAAAGAAAAATAAATAGAAATATAGTAAAATAGAAGATAAAATATAAATTTAAAAACACGATCTACACTTCATTAAAATATAAATTTATTAACATAAAAAAATATAAATTTATTGAAGATTTAATATACAGTGAAGGAATGTAATTTTTTTGTTCTTGCATTTGACAGCTGTGCAAATAATTAACAAAATTAACGGCAGAATATAATCGGGGGAAGGTCTTGTTACGCGACAAATAATCGAAATATGTTATTTACATCTCTGACAAGTACTTTGACACGATTCGTTATATCGCGAAATGAGGGAAGAGGAAGATCGAATAACGAACAATTTTTACATCACTCGCGTTGGAATACGCGGTTTACTCGCCGCGAAAAGTGGAATCGATAGCCCCTACATATAGCCTCTGATTTCAACGTGCGATTTGCACGCGCGGGAATCAGTTGGCGATATTCGCACCTCGTCGGAGATGTGGAATGGGTGCCGTTACCCGCGGCACACAGAGAGCATCTCCACGAGAATCGAATTTCTTCGCGTTCGAGATTGTTGGATTTACTCGGTTACCCTCGGGAAATTCAAATTATTCGGACGAGACGGAGATAACGTCGTGACAGATCGAATATTTTTCTACGTTTTACTCACAGTCCGTCCTTGAAAATATAATTCAGTGATATAGACATAGTATTATTTAGCAAAAATATCCCGCTAAATATAATTTATTAATTTAGAAAAAATTAAAATATTTTATATAAATGCGCGCGCTTAGATATCACGAAGAAAGGGAAATTGGAAATTGTACAGCACGTGTCTCACATATGTTTGACCTCAAGTGGCATTAGCTTCGTCATCACTTCTTTTATTATTTTATGTATTTTATCCAGGAGACGAAAATGTGAGTTTTCCCACGTGCGATGTATAATATATGTGATGTCGTCTGAGTTACAGTTCTGTATCTTTTTCTCAGTAATGCTAAAAATATCATAATAAAATTATGTAAAAAAGCATTATAAAATACATACGGGAGAATCTGTTTTTAATTTTACTATTTTCCGTATATTGATTTTTTAAGAAATCGTATAAACTGCACATAAAAAAGTATACATTTTCTCTTGATAAAAAAAAATCGCCGAATATTCGACCATAATTTTTGCAATGTTTCATCTATGTAATTCATTTTTAAATATTCTGAAATTTCTTACTGTAGAAACATACTTCGAATTTTTTTTGGTTTCATTACTTTTTGTTCTTTTTGCTTGGCGCGCAATATATCGCGTGGACACTCATTATAAGTTAATGGGAAAACCTCAACGTTACGCGGCCACTGGCCGAAATCCAGGTGTAATAATAGCGGACGGTAAATGATCGAGAATTTGCGATATTGCCGGACGTCAGAAGCAGATAATGCAGAATAATACGCGCACACAAAGGCCAGCTGATCTCAATTCACTTGACATTCCCATTCTAACAACAAGAAATCATATTTGGACGATATAATTAACTACTGTACTAATTGGCCGATTTAATCTCGAATTTATTGTTATTCTCAATTAGCAGGAAATTCATATTAAAAATATATGGGATTACTAATTTAACATTACACTTTTACTTTCAGCAAATATTAATAGCGAATCGTAAATAAGAAGTAAATGTTTTACAATTAATTGGTTATTTAATATATTCGTATTAATTAATTAAATATACGCAGATATATTTTGTTATTACTCACAATCAGAAATTTTCCAAAATATATTAAATTTTTATAGATGCATTACTATTATAATACAGATATTATAATTATATAATAATAAATAATAAAAAAAGTTAATAATATAATATTGGTTTAAAATATTTTTTGAATTGCTGTCGAAATATTTTAATTTCATATATTTATTACTTGTGAAAAAGGATTAAAAATATAATCGATAACCAACCGCAGTCATATCGCGAGAGAATAAATTACGCGAATATATTAAGAGAATAAATTATATCAATACAATTAATTGCTTTTTGCTTCGATTTTAATATTATTGAAAATTCTATAAATGAAAATCGCACAATGCTAGCATAATGTTAAGTAGTACTCTCATCTTTAATGCAAATTTCTTGTTAATTGGTAGGAACAATAAATTCGAAATTAGGGCAATAAATTAGCAATACATTAACATTTAATTATTATACATAAAAATTTTATTTTTTATGAGACTACCACATTAACTGTGATAGACAACTAATGTTAAAATTAAAGTGTAACACGATTATTATACAATAATCAAGTTTTATCAATTAATCAGCTAAAAATTACTACACAAAAATAAGATATACAGAGTACTTAGAAAGATTTATATTTTATTATAAAATAATTGTAAAAGAATTGTCTGATTACACAATCAATTTGTGATTTGGCTTTAATACTTTCTTTTGTCCCAGTTGAGGTTCTTAATCTATCTGCGAGATTCTCTTTAATCACTTTTGCCTGCTTTTTAGGATTCAGGTCATTCTTATTTTTGCCGCGGCGGCTTGTCAAATATTGCTACTATAAATCGTTCAGGAGGGTATATCCTCTCTGCGCGATCTTACGTTCAAGTATAGAGGAGCGTCAGCCGGGAATGATAATCGCGTAGGGGAAGGAATAGAAGGGTGCCGTTATCGTATCTCGAAGAAACGATTTTTAAGACGCATGAAGAATTTTTTTTGCGTTTAGGAGAGAATCTGCTTATCTTACGTCTATTGCGAAACAGACTAAATTCAAGGAGGGAAAAATAAATGTTGTTTTTTTAGCGAAAAATTGATATTAAATTATTGAGAAAAATAAGCAACAATATCTTTTTACGATATTCTAATTTATTCAAAGAATCTGTAGGGCAATGTGACAAAAGCGTCACATAAATAAACGTCTTGCTTCTATGTATATTTAAGTAATATTTATGCAATATAGGGTCTTGTATGTTTAACCTTCAACGATGAATTATTTCAGAATGCAAAATTTCAAGATGTTTTGAAGAGATATAAAACTATATATTCTAACAATATACGAAAATTCTTCAAATTATCAAAACAGTGAATTTTGAAATGTTGATATCTTAAATGTTGATCCAGCTTTGTTGGTCCAACATCTTCTCGTGTTGAAGTAAATTGTTTTAGTCACTGTTAACTGTTTGGCAGAGAGAAGTAGTCTTCTCTTCTCCCGAAGCATGTTGGCGAAAGCCTACGAGATTTCACGATTGCCAGAAAATAATAGTTTCGACGTGCTTGTTATCTAAGCAGGTCGATCACGCCTGTATAAAAAAAATCTCATTTCACGGAATTCACGAATAAAAGAAAAAGTCAATTCTCAGATTCTTCGAAGCGAGCAACATGATTGATCGGAAAAAAGTATAATTTTACGAGAAACTGTTTCGAGCTGAAATAAAGTTATTTAAGCGCTGTATAAGGGCTTTTCAAGAATTATTATAAAATTTAGGAGTAATTTTTGAAGATTTTGAAGAAAATTTTGAAGAACAATTTCGTTATTTTATAATGGAAATCTCTCTGGTAGATATAATTTGTTTATGTATTGTTATATGAAAAAAATTAACAAGTTTTTTAAATCAGCTTTTTTCACGATCATATAATTATAATGTAATTTGTGTAAATTCATACAACTTTATTAATGTAAAAGTAATTTTAGAAAGAGAAAAGTAGTTAGCATTTTAAAATATTTTGTTGATGATATTTTAATTTTAATCTTTTATATACATATAAAAAAATATAAATTATGAAACAAACATTTAAAAGTAATTTTGCTTGATATTTATAGTATAGATTTTTTTGACACAATATGTATAATTTTCAAAATATTTTATTATTTGAAGTATTTCGTCATCTTATGAATGTTTTACCCTTCTCTTGTGCTACATGAAGAATCATGACTAGTTAATTATTAAGTAGATGAAGCATTTAAACTCTTCCGATACATTTCCTGGATTTTTTCGCGCTAAAGTAATAAAATATGCGAGCTTCTCCCTGACGTGACCGGAAGCAAGAGTTGTCGATCACAGAAACAAAGATGAATAGATATTGTCTCTATAGCAACATTTTGTACCGGGATAAAAATAGCCTGCAGCTCACGCTTTTATATACTTTTTCCAATAAAAGTGGTGATTTAATTATCTCGCTCTCGGAGAGTATGAAATTTATTTACGTTTTTTCCGCAAGGATATTTATTGGCAATTGGTTTATCTGAGATATATCTTGTCAATAAAATCAACACCAGATAAAGTGTTTTATTTCTATCATGAGTAAAATCGTTCCATTTGTTATGACAAAGAAAAACTTTAACATTACTAACTTTAAAAAACGCATTGAAAATTCAAGGGCAGTTGTTTGCTTTTTAAAGGCTTATGGAAATACACTTAGGTATTTACATTAAAGAAGATTGTTCTTGTTACTTGTTTCCGAGGAATAAGCTGTATCTTTTGCATCGATAAAATTCTCGTTCAATTTTCGCAGAAAAATGTTTTCCTGTACTAAACCAATGAAAATTTGAAAATAAATTGCTTATCGACGTATCTTTCCGGGGATTAAAAAACAACAAATTGGTTATATGCAAAACGTGACTTTAATAAGGCATAATAAAATTTTGTTAGCTCTTTATCAGCTAGGTTGCATCAACAAATTTTACAGGAGTTCAGAGAAAACTGTACGATATCTTTTTATATATACAAGATTTTTTTTACGGAAAACATATTCTATCAATATTTTAACAATATTTAATACCGATATTCTATATCTTTTTTACAATATTTTTTTACTGTATTTTCTATCTCCAATTGCTTGATTCTAATTTTTCTACGATATTCTTTTTCCGTATATAAAAATAGCGATATTGCAAACAAAATTCCATTGCTTGATTTCTG